CCTATTTGTTGGACAAGCATTCAACATAACTTGAATCGGGCTATAGCACAAAATTTATGTAAATTCCATTATTTTGGAGTTTTTAATCTTTTTAATGAAAACATGTTTCTTAAAACATAAACCAAATATATATGTATGTAGGTGTGTGTGTATATATATTGTATCAGAATAGGCTAAAAATGGCTGAAAAGCATCAGAATTTTTCATCATTGAAAGACCAATACTCTTACCGGAAATAAGAGATTTAATCTTTGGATATTATATTATAGCCTTTTGCAAATGCAAATGTTAAATTTTTACACACAAAATGACTGGCAAACATACTAATCCAATTATCGCAAGGCCATACCAGGTGAGATTAGACTCAAAGTTTTATGCATGGAAGTCCTACTCTACATAAAACACTTCTAACAATCATCCATAGGGTATTAACATTTCTTTCCACAGATGTATTTCCTCTTTCATTCATGATTATTATATAGAATGTTTCCCAGGTGCCCAGTGCAGAGCATGCTAACATTTTTACATGTCAATTTCACAAGTCATGTAGTCCTGAACCGTCTAGCCTTTAAACAAGGTGCATCGCAGCCATGAACAACCAAACCCAAATCAATAATGATGCTTCTGATGTAATCAATGCCATAACCCAAACCATCAAAAAAACAATTCCTAGCAAAGTAACAAATCCTGACCTACAATCCTGGAAACTTAATCCCGAAATTCATGAATTAATATTTACTCACACACAACTTCATACGAACTCGTGACGTTATGCTTAACCACTCATTAAATGCCACAAGTATAATCTTATTAAGAAACTTGTATTACAACAACAACAACAACATGATATCTGGGAAAACTTCTACCTATCAGTAGATAAATCCAAACCTAACCCTTCCAAATTCTGGTGGAAATTTAAATCTATCACGAAGAACAAATCAAAAAACACCATAAATAAAATTCAATATAATAACAATACTGCCACTACTGACAGCAAACAATCTAAACTTTTTGCCCAATATTTTGAAATATCTTTGTAATCCCAAATCTCACCTTGTTTGACACACAACATTTCAACAATGTAAATCATATTTCTAATAATCAACACTTTTTTGTTCACCAAACTTCCCAGTTTCTATATCACAAATTTCTGGTTTTAGCGATTTATATGCCCGCCCTATAACTTTAGCAGAAATCAAAAATTAACCTTAGGAAAATAAAAATGCAAAGTCCCAGGAGAGGATGGAATTAACAATTTAATCCTGAAAACCTAGCCAACAAAATCATAACCCACTTAGTAACAATTTATAAGTTGTTGTTACTATCAGGATATTACCCATCTGTTTGAAATAAGCTATTATTAAGGTAATCCCCAAGAAAAATAATAATTAATCCCAGCAACTAAAGACCCATTAGCTTGCTAAACACTCTTGGTAAAGTAATGCAAAAATTAAACAAAAACAGGTTAAACACTTACCTAGAAACCAACAATATTATTATTAACAACATACAGAATTCAGGCAGAAAATGTATACAAACCATTGGCCACCTCGTCAGACTTACTGAAACCATCTATTATGATTTCAACAGAAAACATACAACCATAGCTACTTTCTAGGCATCCAAAAAGCTTTTGCTTCAGTATAGCACAATAGACTTCTCTATTATACTAATCGATAATCACGTATCCACATCTATTGTATGCTGGATATCCAGCTTTCTTACCGACAGTAAAACTAAAGTTAAGATCAACAATGCGACCTGCAGGACCTTCACATTCGAAGCCCCCAAGGGTCAGTGTTAAGCTCAATTTTATACAACCTCTATATATGATATCCCGTTCCCTTCCTTACACTTGCTTCTCAATATGCAGATGATATTGCTATCTGGAGTTCTAGCAACCCCTATATCATGACATTTAGGGTCCAGATATCACTTGGTGCAGTGTCAGATTGGTGCAACAAGCGGTGTGTAGCCCTCAACCCAGAAAAAAGTTTTGTAATCTAGAGTTAACCTTTAACAATTCAGGCACTGATCAGGTGGAATATTTGGTGCCTGATTAGAGGAAATGGGTTTTCTCTGGATATTCCTGCCCTCCCCCCCCCCCAAATAAAAGTATTTTCATTGGATCTGTGAATCCCCACCCTGAGAAGGACTGCTCCCCTTCATATTCTATATTCAAAATTTAAGTTACATTTTTATGTATTAATTCAGACAAAGCTATATAAACCATTTCCCATCAGTTTATTAAATTGAAGCCCATTTAAACGTTAATATCTTTGCTAGTTTTAGATGTATATGTCTTCTATTAAGAATTAGGTAATCAATTGCTTCAGACCCTAATTATCACTCTTATTTATACAACTCGTGTCAACTTTGAACTGGATATCCTTAGTACAGTCTTGGTTTCTTCAGTTTGAGTATCAACCTCTTTTTTTTTTCAACAAATTTCTTGTCTCCAGCTCCCCACTGTCTCGGTTTTTCCCTGACATTTATTACAAGGTCTCAACTCCCCTTGTTTACGTTATTTAGCAACCATGCTTGTAAATCAGTCTCTCGTGCTTCAACAACATTAAGCTCCACATTATTTCATCAAAGCACTCAAAAAACCTTAAAACTTAAGATTTCTTTTCATCCTTGGTAGTTGTTCAACCAATGTTTTTGTTGGTAGGGCAAAGAGAAATTACAGTTTCTGATCTCCCTAGTTACTTTTCAGGCCCCTTCTGGACTTGAAAGTTTTCAAATCAAAATACCTACCAAGGAATTTTGCTTTGTTTTGACATGGGACTCCAGATTGTGATATCTCTACAAATTGGTGAGCAGCTTTGTTAAAATTCAGGTTTACAATCTCAAGTGGAGAACATAAGTTACTATCTTGAGGAAGTTTACAGTTAGAATAAAGAATAGACTCAAATAGTGGAATCCAAAGCACAAACAACATTTTAATTCAATATATTAAGATACTCTGCTACATTGAGATTACTGAAGGTATCTTTAAAAACTTCACTGTTAAAATTATTACTAAATTTGTTATTCTGAACAGCTAACTATTCCTTAATTAAACTTTCAACAATATTCATTAAATTTCTTACAACAACCAATAAGTTTTCAATTATAACATTATATGAAATATGCTGAGATACTTTACTTTATGAGTCTCCCTTAATACTAGGCATTTTTTCATCAATCTCCTAACTACACTATTTGACTGAGAGAGATAGCAATAGTTACTTACATGGAGCTTGAACGGGAAGAACTTGGAGTATTTTGTAGTACTGATATTTTCAGTGATGTTCTAGGCTTGGGGACAGTTGGATCAGGCAGCATCTGGATCAGTTTCTTCAGCATCATGTTTGACAGCTTTTGATTGAGCAAGGAGACTGACTTTTAGCCCAAAAACATGGGTTCTTATACAAATTTCTTTGTTATTCGTATGACTCTCCAAATAACGTACACATCCAACTTTCAAGTATATCTGTCACTTAATTGGATGAATTTTGTTGACTCGTAGTAATTCTCGGAACTAAAACCAGTTTTAATTCAATAACTGGTTATGATTGAAGACAGTAACTTGGCAGCTTCTTTGCATGTATTTCTCCTTGTCCTCTTCAGATCAAAGTTACATCAAGAGTCTCTAATTTCCTTTTATGGAATTAATTTTCAGACTCTAATGAAGTTAACATAGCACTTTCTCATAGTTTTTTTCTCTGCTGCAGTTGCATCTGTTTATGTTGATAAAGTAAACAGTTGATCCTCAATACTGCCTGGAATACATCTTAGTTTATACTTAACATATACATTTCCTTTCTTGGTCATGCATCGTTGTGTAACTTCTCTTATGCGTTCACTAAATGTTCACAGTTTTTCTTCAGATTGTATGTACATACATAGAATGTTATAAGATTGTATTTCTCATTTCTTGAAGCATTTGAAAATAGCATAAAATGCCTGAAAATGCTGCATATGCTTCAGAACTGAGTTCTTGGAATTTGACCTAGCTGCATATGTGTGTACTTTGACTGTCTGGACGATACATTCTCAATGCTGCCTGGTAATGGACTGGAGATGCACCCCCACTTTGCTGTCCATCTTCCTACTGGTCCCTGGATGTCAGTTCCTGGCAGATATGGTAATGGTCATTTTTGGATGTGAACACATGTTTAAGCTGTGGAGGTCATTTTATTGTTTCTGTCCTTATTGTGACACAATCTTGTGGACAAAGAGTATACCTGGCTCAGAAGTGGTACAGTCTCCCACAGGGGTGTTGCCTTCCATTTATTAGCACTCCCCATTGTCTTCCTTTGGGCACTTTCTAAAGGAAGATCATCTTCTCACTGGACCCTCTGCCAACTCACTGTGGGATTCTATATATTTTTGAGAGGAGGTAAGATATTGTATCAGAAGTTAACATTTTCCTAAACTGAAAATGTATTTCCAATAGATATTTACCTCCACTTACATTTCCCACCCATCCTGGTGTCAGTTTTGTATGTATTGCCCGATCTCAAAGTGATTTTGGGCTGCAGGGAAGAGAGGGCACTAGTAACAATAGGAGTTGTGTTGCACTCCTATTGGTGGAGGGTTGCTACACGATCATTTATATGATAGCATGCAGATGTCTGACATGAATACAAGCAAGGGTAGGTGGGAGTATTAAGGCTAGTAGCAAACAAAAATTTACACGTATAGAGGGCAGTAAAAGTTGAGAAAAACTATTTGTGAGAGTAGGTAAATATCTATCGGAAATACATTTTCAATTAGGAAAATGTTAATTTTCTGAAAGAATGGTGATTAAGTCATTGAAGTGTTGTGTCCAAATAATCCATGTTTACCATTTTTCATTTTAATGCTTAATATTTTTAAGTTCTCTTTTGTAAAAATATTAAAGCAGTTGTAATAAATTTTATTAATTGTTTTTATTTTAGAATAATTTATTATTTCATAGCAATATAATGCATTTGTGTGCAATCTCATATTTTTAACTTTTTTATGTCTTATAGGTTGGTGTATAAGTGGTTTTATCTTATATACATGATAAGTTATGGACTTGGAGTATTAGGCTATGTTGTTGTTATGCTAACACTGCTTGGAGTGAACCTCATGTTTCGAGCTCAACCTCAAACCTGGCTGGACTGTGGACTTATGTGTCTTTTCTATGGACTTTACTATGGTGTTTTGGGCAGAGATATAGCTGAAATTATAACTGATAAAATGGCTGCAACTGTTGGAGTAAGTTAGTATAAACCCTTTGACTACAAAGTATTTTGTATAATTATCACAAGAAGTTTGACGCAATACAAATGTGTTGTATAATAGGAAAGACTTACAAGCGAATATATATAAAACCTAGGCCAAGAATAAAAAATTAATTTCACCAATTTTCAAAAAAGTCATAGGATATATATCAAAAAAAAAATTGATGAGAAGAATTCCTTGAATTTAACATTATTTTTTGTTTGTGGATGTTGAAAGTTTCGTATGAGAAAATATTAGCATTGAACAAAATATTAGCCATATATCACATACACAATAATAATATGAAATGCACAGACTTTGTCTTGGATTTACTGCAAGTTTTAAAAAATTTACAAATGATGATATTAGCATGTAAATAATTAGGAGTGCTTTCTTTTTCCTTAATGTCCATTTCCTGTTGCTAAGTATTATTTTGAAGTGTTCGATGTTTGGCTTCTTACTACATTCTTTATTTAGATGATTGTACATTTTAAACAAAAACTATAGCGAGAAGCTAAACATTGAACACTTCAAAATAATAGACTTAGCAACAGATGAATGGATGATAAGGAAAAAGGAAGCATTCCTAATTTGAAATATAAAACCAAAGCTGAACAACCAGCTAACAACACCACTACATCTCAAAATATGATAAACTTATCATGCTTGAGATGGACAAAGAGTGAAAACTTTGAAACCTTCATTGAACAACTAAATGTCAATAACTATCTTCAATATATCTAAACGTATGATAAAGAAACATTTTTTTCAATAATCTACTTTTCACCATTTAACAGTTATGCAATATTGATGATAAATCTGACATTAGATTCAAGTTTTATTTTTCAATGGTATATAGGTGGAAGTTATATGAATTCAGAAGTCTTGACACACAAAACACTGATATTTAACACCAATGCTAGAACTAAATTTTGCACTGCACTTAAGTGTTGTAGTTACTGGTTGATTCTTCTAGGTCTGTTGAAGTCATGATTTTGTTTTTATGCAGGAAGCTAATCAATGTGTAAACAGTAAACCAACATTTACAGTTTTGTAAGTAAAATTTTACAAACCAAAATGTGTTACTTGACACACAATTAATAGTTGTTCATTTATACCAGTTTATGCAGTTTAACATACACTTGGCATTAGTTACTACTTACTATTTTACTTCACTGACAAAATGCTTGACAAGTTTGTGTGTGTGTGTATATATATATATATAAATAGCTTATGAACTAGTGATTACATTAATTGTTAATAGGTGATTTAATCAGCACTATAAAACAGTAATGAATTAAATATCACATTACCGTTATTGGTCCAGGTTGGCAACTTGTTGTCATAACAGGTAATGTCCATGGTAATAGCACCCAAATACGTTAGGGATATCCCATCTACCAGACAAAATCCAAACACCGATGTCAATCTAGTCAGCCGTCATGGAAAATCATTAAAAAAATCAATCAAATAAGTCTGTAACAACTATAATTTTTTTATGAATAATGTTTTGTTACTAAAAAATAAACTGAAAGATAATGACTATAAAGACAGGCAATTAAAGAAATACTTTCTTTTTTAATAAATACAAAATTATTTTAGAAACCAAACTATCGAATAAGAAAAATATCTTACAAAAAATAAATAAAATAAAGAGGGAATTAGTTACTTTAGCTTATAAGTAGCTAATAGCAATTTTCAAGTAATTTTATTCAGTATAACTGGGACGGAAAGACTAACTCCAAGTAGCTGGGCTTGTCTCGGCATTCTGTTGTTATACTTGAATAAATCTTCAGGAGAAAAGGGGGAGGTTGGGAGTTAAAACTATACAAAAACTTTTAAGGAAGGTTGTATAGTTCTATTTAATGTCTTATAGTTCTATTTAGTTCTATTTAATATTTTATAGTTCTCTTTTGTTCTATTCAATATGGTTATAGTTCTGTTTTATTCTATTCAATATGTTATAGTTCTGTTTTATTCTATTCAATATGTTATAGTTCTGTTTATTATCTTATAGTTTTGTTTTATTCTATTCAATATGTTATAGTTCTCTTTTGTTCTATTCAGTACTTTATAGTTCTGTTTTATTCTATTCAATATGTTATAGTTCTGTTTTATTCTATTCAATATGTTATAGTTCTGTTTTATTCTATTCAATATGTTATAGTTCTGTTTTATTCTATTCAATATGTTATAGTTCTGTTTTATTCTATTCAATATGTTATAGTTCTGTTTTATTCTATTCAATATGTTATAGTTCTATTTTATTCTATTCAATATGT